GGCAACAAGCAGTGTTTTCTGGTAGCAACCCGAAGGCAAAAAGCCCACCCCAGCCTCTCTCTCTTGCGGCGACACCAACATGCATTTCTGTTCAAAGCAAGCCGGTGGGTCGACCCCCAGGCCCAGCTAGCCCAGCCAAGACTGGAGCTGAGGCAGCGTGGCTGTGAAGCTGCTGACTGGTAGAGGTGAGTGGCATTTGCTCTGTGGGCGCTAGCTCTTCCAGCCTGCTTTCTGCTGTGCTGGGCAGCGTTTCCGCACCCCTGAACGCACAGTGCTCCTGGTGAAGCAGAGAACAGGTACAGGACCAAGGTTTAGGTTCACCCACTCCTAGAAGCTGTAGGCAAGTCCAGCCTTTGTGGACTTCTTGGTTAAATCCCGAAAGTAAAACGCTGCTATGGGATGTAAGTGGTGCAGGCACTTGCAGCCATGGGTTTGATCTCTGTAGGGAGCTGACGGTAGACGTGCAGTGAGAAGGGGGTGCGTGGTCACTTTTGAAATACAGATAAAATTTAGCCCGGTGAAAATTAGGAGTAGCATGAGAAGGTGATTTCTACATAGAAGGCCATAGCACTCTTTTTTTTTTTACTGTAAAAACAGGTGCGATACCAGCTGATTCAGGGCATGGTGCCTGAGGAATGTGTAGGAATCCAATCTCGGTGAAGCTGTCGGATCACACTGATCTATTAGCAGCTGTTGGAATTGGAGGAAGAAGCTGTAAATCAGTAGGAGAACATCATAGGAATCCGGTGCTGGGGCCGTATTTGTGCTTGTCACAGCACGTACCGAGTGATTCGCACTGTGAGCTGGAATGCCGGCAATCAGGACAAACGGAAATATCCTACAGCTTTTATCATCATCCAGTTCTGGTCTTTCTGTGTATCATGAGCGAGCATTTCTTACTCCCTCTGTCTCATGCACGCAGATCCCCCCGTCCTGCTCTTCGCCCTTTGCTGCTTCCTGCCTATGTTCAGCGATTGTCCCTCCCGCGGTGGTCCCTGGGCTGCGCGGGAAATTGGGCACAGCTCGCCCCGGCGTGCGGTTGGCTCGCTGCGGCAGAGCTGTCCGTGGCAGAGCTGCTCCCCGCTGCGCTCTCATCGCCCAGAGGTAGCCAGGCAGAGACCCCTGCCCCCGCGCAGCCCTCGCCCCTTGCCCTGCCGCCGCCAGCCAGGCAGGTCCCCGGGGCGGGAGGAATGCTTCGGTGCCCGTGAGGCAGCTGGCAGTGAGAAGCAGCGGCAACGTACGCATGAGGAAGGGCTCTGCCAGACGTGTTTCAGATGGCTCTCGGTAATCGATCGCTGGCTGTTTATTAAGCCATCACTTCCATGTTTATAAACAACTTCAGCAGGGAGACTTATGACCAGCTTGGGAGTAGGTGGCTTGGGAGAGATGCCTTTTATTGTTATAGAGCCAATACATTAAATAAACCCAACAAAAACTATTTTCTTAAACTCCGTTTTCCAGTTCATAATTGTATTCGCTGGTCCAATTGAAGCTGGGAAGCTATTACCAGATGGGAGCCATCAGAGCGTAGAAGCAGCCATTCTCATTGCTCCAGGCTGAAAGGGATGGGCGGGGTAGCTAATTTCCCTTCCTGGATTTGAAAACCTTCATCACTCACTCACCCCCGTCTTGGGCCAACAGTGCGTCTGGGCCGAAACCGCATGCTCCAGAAAGGCATCCCGTTTTGATTTGGCAAAGCCAACGAGCCAGAGACTCCACCGTGTCCCCGGGGAGTTTGTGCAAATTGTGCATCATTTGCACCCTTAAGAGTATGTGCCACTTTCGTGTCACTTTTCAGCTTTTAGTATCTTCTTGTGTTTGTGTGATTTATGCCGCAAAGCCTGCTCCGGTACCTGTGAGGGCAGCAAGGCATCGCAGCCCAGCTGTCTTGGGGTTTTGGGGTTGTATTGGTAAGGTAGACCGGGCTCTCTGAGCATGGCACTGTTAGGCTGGACACCAGCTTTCGCTTGTCAGGCTCCCTCTGAGTGTGTGGCTGTCTGGGGAAGGTCCCACCATCGCTGCTCGCGTGTTTGCTGGCACCCCTCTACTCCTCTCTTCCAGTTACAGAGCCAAAGCCTGCTTTTGTGTAGCTGGCCCATCAGTTGGCATTGCCATAGCAGTTGGAAACCCACCGCTCACCCTAGAGTACTAGAAAATGCAACAAAATAAGTGCATTTCCTATTTTCAAAGCATTGCAGCCTGAGTGTAAATTACCTTTTCTTCTGATGGCTCTGTGGGGGCCTTCCAGACCTGATACTGCTGGCCTTGGGTGCATCCGCCTCGTTCAGCCTGCGTGACACGCACGTATTTCTCCGGGCGGTTTGACTTTCCACCAAGTGAGAGTCACCAGGGAGAGTTAATCCGTCACGGGCACCCGGGCGGAGGAAAGGCAGAGAGGTCGCCGGGCTTCCCGAGGGGCTTTGCCGGCGAGTACGACGGCCCCGTGCGTCTGCGTGGCAGATGATGCTGGTGTTCTCTCCTTGGAGAATGGCCCCGAACGGTACGTGCATTGGGACGCTGGCTCGCTCCCGCGCTTCCAGTCATTGCCCCCCGCCTCGCCCCCTGGACGGGGTGGCCGGTCGGGTCGGCTCGCCCACGCCCATTGCGCAGTGGCCTCGTCCTTTTGAGCTGCGGCTTTCGTGTTCTCGCAATGTATGTGCCTTATTTTGTGTTGATCCTGTCCAAGAGAGGGACCAAGATGCGTTGCCAAATTTTCCCTATGAGGCTGTGCTCCCCATTCAGCTGCTAGCACACACCACTGTTAATAGTGTCCGAAACGTCTCGTAAACCTCCGGTATTCACGTGTTGTTGTCCTTGGATTGGTGGAATGTCTCCTATGGAACAGTTACTGTTGTCAGTCCTGCAGATGTGTAAGATAAAAATGTGTTCCTTGGTTTTTTTTTCACCTTTTTTTTAGTTCTTTTTTTAATAAAGCTTGTAATCCTTTTTTTTAAAAAAAAAAAAAGAAAATGTGTAAATACATTTATGTACGGTAGGAATAGTGTTCGGCTGTAACGGGCCTTAGTGGGCTTCATTTGATAAACCTGCAGTTACGATCTGATGTTTCTCGAGCCTTAGGTTGATCTGAAGGGTCTGTACCACTGTGTACATACAAACTGCACAGCTGCGTTCAGAACCACTTAGCTCTTTTGTAACAAAGAAAAAAAAAAAAGTTTCTTACAATGTCAATAAAAACACAAAACCCTTTGTACTTAAGTTGTTAGCTTTCAGCTTTTGAAATACCTCCTTGGGGGAGGGAGTAGTTTTTTCGTTTGGCTGGAGAGCCTGGTTGCAGTCGCGGTGCGTATCGCTTCCACTCATGGTCGCTCGCTTTTCCATTTCTGCTTCATTTCATTCACATTTTTAAAAACCGACAGGGAAGCAGCGCAGGGCACCTGCATTCCCTTTAAAGAAGAACGGCTTGGGAGGGGTGCTGGGTGGAGAAATAAATGAAACCGCAGTGTCAGGCAGATAAAACC